ACTTCCTGCTCAATCGATCAAATAAATTAGAAAATAAATATCATGGAAGGAAATTTAACATTTCAACTCGCTTCAATACCACTCATTTCATGCTATTTTCACATCATAAAGGAGAATGGCATATTTTACAGTCGATGATTGTGTTCTATCAATTACGATTTATGAATAAACATAAGGATTAAAGGAAAATCAATTTCCCTTTTTCTCAAGCTATACATTTATCCACATTTCAATGTCTTTCATCACTGCTGAGAAGATGTTACTCATTTTTCCGATATTCTTTTCATGCATCATAGCTAACGCCTATATAATACAAACATACCATAAATATTTTCAATGAAAAATGAAAATGAAATATAAAATGTACATAATCTTAAAGAAAATAAGGGAGTTTTAGCTATTTTTCTATACCAGATAAATTTTATCTCCCGTGTGGCACATTGACTTGAACTCTTCTTTGATCTATTACAGCTGTTATGAATTTTTATTATGTTGAATTTTGAATTTTTCATCTGTTTTGAATGAAAACATAGTCTGAAATATTTATGAATCCTTATAAGTACTGCTGAATTGAAGTATTACCATTTTTATTCTGAGTTGTTCAATATTTCAGCATGAAATGTTTATTGTTTGAAAGATTTTTGAATTTCTTTGTTTAAAAGTGTGAATAATTTGTTTTAAATTACAAAGTAAGAATATTAATAATTGAATGATTTAATTTGAAGCTATATAATCTTCATTATTATTGAGTTTGTGAATATGTAATTAGATATAATATCTCGAAATCTTTGAACTCAAGAAATTCCAGAAGTTCAAACTCAACTCTTTGATTATGATTTTAAAAACTTTAATTTCAAAGCAAAAATGATCAATAAAGGTGCTTTGACTCAATCTTTAACCATAGGAAATTCAAAACATTCGTTTTGGTTGTCAAACGATCTAATTATATCATGTTTAACCTTAAAAACAGAAACATTCAAACAACCAAAAAATCAAAATTTGCCTTAGCAATTGTAGCAATTGGAAAAGGATCTAAAACTAGATTGTTGTTAAGATACACCAAGACCTGTTTTATATTTGCTTGTCGTTAATTCAATATTGTCAATAATAGAATTTTATAAAGCTAGTTTTGCAAGTAAATCTGTGCAAAGATTAATTTCTAAGTTCCAAAATCTAATTTGATTCAAACGACTGGAACTGCTTTTTTTTTACAAACTTCATCTCATTCCTTTCTTTTATCCTTAAGCAAAAACATTTCTCAACAAATCAAAACGTGAAGAGTAGATTCAGAATGTGAGCCGATTGATATGAGAGTGGAAATTATATGAGAAAGAAGAAGAAATTTTTTCAATTTGTTTCTTCTCCATACTTTTCGCACCCACATATATAAAACTTATGGGAAAAGTAAGCAAAGCACACACAAGAAAGAAAGAAAAAAGAAAAAGAAGGCAAAAATGCTTAAGCATGCAGATGATGAAGAAGCTGTGTTGAAAGAACCTGTTGAACCTTTCTCATTCTATCAAAACATGCCACACAGAATTGATTCAATGGAACGGCGAAAAGGTCCATTATTTATATAGAGCAATATTTTTTTGCCTGATGTGTCATTTCCTCTTTACTCTTATTGTTAAATATTTATGGGATACTGAAAATATTGAGGATGTTTCTGCCGAGAAATGCAGAAATTTCCTTCCTGTAATGTATAAGCAGAAAATATTTTCTGTGTCATCGTCTTTTCTTACTGTTCATACTGCATAAGCTCTGTAGGGCAAAATCATGAAAGCGAAAAGACGGGAGAGTGGGAGCGAAAGTGGATGAACGAAAGAGAAAGGGAGAGAATTTTTTACATTTACCTTTGAACTTTATAAAGCATAAATTTTTTAATGTAATGTAGAGTAATGGATAAAAGAGAACATTTTAAAGTCATAAATTTTAAGGAGCGCATTTCAAATTAGTAGCAAAGTATTTTGACGCAAATCGGGAACTAAAAAAATCATCACAAAACAATCTCGAAATTTTAAGAATCCGAGCATCAATAAATCCAAGAATTACAACAAAGTCCAAACAAAGTGCGAGGCACAAAAAAAGTTTGAGATTGTTTTTCCAAAACAATTCACCTCAAAGTAATCGAGACAGTGCACTGTACCTTTTTTCAGCTCATCTCCATCACATCAAATTAGGAACAACAACAACAGAAGAAATAATAATGAGGGGAAAAAGATTGGAACGATGGATGTCAAAATAAATGATGTATGTCGAGGTGTGCGTGAGAGATTTTGACACAAATGAAAGAAAGAAGGAAATAAGTTTGATATTGTCGGATATGAGACGAGAGACAAAGGGGAGGGGGAATATTTATTACATTTGTGAGAGAGCTTATACCGCAAGCAAAGATTTGTGCATTTCGATTTTCTTACGAATAGTAAATGAAATTTTGCTTTTTCTTCTTGTTTGGATGATTTGGAGATGGTTTTGTGGATTGACGGATTTTGTGGAATTACTTTTTGTTGGTACTTTGGAAGATTCAACATGTCTTATGAGTTAGACTGCATTTCTGGATTTTATCTAAAATTATTTTCACTAAAACTTTGCTTTTAAGATTATATTTTAAGTCAAGTTACGTACTTTTAAAAAAGGATTTATTGATTTTCTTTAAATGCTAATAAAATTCAAAAGCATAAGGCAAAAATGAGATGTATAAAGGGGACGTTCACTTATAACGTCCGGGGGGGGGGGGGGGGGGGGGTCAGCAAGAAAAGAACAATAGAAATTCCTGGAAATCCATCGTTCTTTTTTGAAAAATGACCGTTAATTACGGACGTCATAAGTGAACCCCCAAATGTTTCTAGTGGGAATTGAACCTCAAACTTATCGATTATAAAACAAATGCTTTGCAGCAATTGAACTGTGTTTCAAGAATCAGCAAATTGTTCTGGTATTCATTAAATCAATTCCAGTTTGACTTATAGCTTATTTCTGATAAAGTTAAATTTTATTTAAATAATTCTCAAACTTTAAAATAAAACTTTTTCCGCCTTTTTTTCCTCAAAAACCCAATACTTTAAGTAGCACTTAATGTCCTTAATAATTCAATTGACTATGGACCAAAATAAAATTCAATAAAAATCCAGCCTCAGCACATGAAATTCAATCCACACGACCCGACACTTTACTTACTTGTGATCTAACTGGGTTAAAACTTTTCTTGTTATTTTCCAAAAATATTCTGTAACTTCAAACTTATATCAAGTTGATCGAAATCCTCGTGACTTTTGATTCACACACACGCACGAAACAACAGAAAGAAATTATTTTTTTTGTGCCTTTATTAAAGCAAATTTTCTCATTCAGTGTTAATATCAATTCTTTGATAAATCTTTGAGAACTTTAAACACCTTTAACTTCTTCCTTTTAAAAAACTTTTTTCGTTCATTAAATATAATTTTTCACAACACAGGCAGGCATAAAGGCTTTTGAGAATTGAGAAAAGTTTATCATTTTTTTATTATTATTATTATTTTTTCACTTAATTGAAAATGGAAAAAGGAAAAAAGGTGAAAAAAGGAGAGAGAAATTGTGTCGATGATAAGGGACAAAAGTTTTGGATATTTAGGCACTTTTTTGTACACAAATTAAATTTTCTCAAAAACTTTCTTTAAGAACTTCAACTCTTATTTTCCACTCAATTTGATAGGGAAATGGCGATAACTTCACTAAGATTCATCTACAGTTTAACAACACTACAACTTGCTACTTGCATAAATGATAAAATTTTCTCTACTTAATTAAGCAATTTTTCATCATTCACAAATTTTTCAGATTCATTGAAAATTTTATTTATTTTTCACTGCAAAAACTTAGAAGATGAAAAAATCGAAACAAGAAAATGAAGCTTCCGTCTATCTGCAATGCTAAAACACAAATGAGATGAGGAAAAGTTGTGGGGCAAGGATATAAAGGAAATTTGAGAGAAGCTACAAAAGTTATGCTCACAAAACAAAAAGCTCCTCTCCTCTCACCGTGTACCATGTGCATGATAAGGAAAAATGAATATAAACAGAGAGTCGCGCGTGCATTTCCATTGAAGTTTTGTACACGCGGAGATTTAAGAGAGAGGACTTGATGACGTCATATTGATAAACAGAGGAAATTAAATCTCGTAAAATGGGATTTTGCTTTCGTTGATGGCCTTTTTTAAAGCAATTAATAAGGGTTCCTTTGCCTGACATTGTCTTTGCCTTTTTTCTGGTTTCATTTTCAACTTTCAGATTACACTGTATAATTGCATTAATTCAAAAGTCGAGGAACCTCAAGGATGTTTAGAGGTTTCATAATTGTAGAAATTTTAATTGCTTTAATGTTTCAAAAGGTTGCTGCACCCACGTTGAACAGTTCCCACCTTGTTATTTTCAAAGTCACCTACGCATGAACTTTACTTGTTATTTACTAATTGATGTGAACTTTAAATTCACAGAATAAATTAAAACTACTGTTTTTTTAATTGCATCTAGGGCTGCGTTGACTCCTTTTTGGCTAGACATTACGTTTTTGATGTTTAATTTCAATCCTTCATGTTAAGACTCACTGCTAATTTGATGCAAGAGAACCTTGATGGTTGAGTTGTTCGCAAATCTAAAGTTACAGATTCCTTATTTGAAGTTCTCAGTTCGATTCTTAACATTTAAATTAAAAATGTTGATGATTCCGATAATAACTAAGACTATTAATCTCATGAGATCAAACATTTCAAAAAGCACTTAAGACCGATTTGCAAAAATAAAAATTCGAATTATTCAAGCTGATTTAAGCCACAAAATGAAAACGATAGCCGCAACAGTTAAAAATAAAATATTTAAAGAAAAGTCACTAAGAACCTTAATTTTTAAAAGAAATAATCGAATTACATTATTTTGTCATTTGATGCTTATCGTTCTTTATGCTAAATCAATTTGAGGGAAAAAAGTCTCATTAAATTTTTCTTTTTCATTCTTATTTTATAGATGCCAATGGTAACATCAATGGATCGAGAAACAATCAGAGAAGCATACGAAGATGTTCGAAGTAATTTGACCGACACAGAGTGGGCAGTATTTAAATTTGAGTCGTCTGAGATTGTGTGTGCGGCTAAGGGTATTGGTTTTGAGGAATTCCAACAACAATTTATGGATGAAGAACGAGCATTTGGTTACATAAGAATTCAAATGGGTCTGTTTGCTATTTTTATTATGATTAAATCCAATAAATCCTCGTACAGAAAGAATCATGTTCATTGAATTGTTCAATGATAATTCAAATAAGTTTTGACAGTTAAATTACGAAATTAATTTTTCTCATTTTTGGCTTAATTAAAGCGTTTTGACACATTCGAACTTTATTTTAAAGTTAATTGATGCATAACTTAAATGTTTTGTTGCTTTTAATTGTTTGAATATGCGAGAATTTGACGTTAAGTTTAATACAACCTGAAATTGGTTCCAGCTCAATCATAAAAGTTCAAAATTTTAAATTAACAACTGTCAAAATTTCTGTATGAATAGGCATAAAGTCATGCATCAAAATTCCAAATTGTAACCTTTTTATAAATTCAATAGGAGATGAGATGTCAAAAAGAAGCAAATTTTTATTCCTCACTTGGATCGGATGTGACGTAGGCGTTATGCAGCGTGCGAAAATGTCTACGGATAAGTCGATAATGAAAGAAGTCATAAGCGTAAGAAATTCTTTAAATTCCTTTCCATCCCACAGACATTCATGCCATAGCATTTCTTTATAGAATTTCGCAGCAGAATTGCAGATAGAATGTGAAGCCGACATGGATTTAATTTACTTTAAGGAAGTTCTACAGAAAGCTCAAGGTGCAAATTATGGAACAGGCATTCGAGAAATTTAAAGCACAATTATTTCCAACTAATATTTTTATGTCGCATAGTTTCTAATCAATTTTTTTATTTTCAAAGTAAACCATTTTGCAATATTTCCAAGTGCCAAGGATTCAGTTACTCCTTGATTGATGATGAAATTATCTTCATTTACTTAATATTATTGTGTTATAAACAAATGCGGGACTTGAGGTGATTGAAGATTTACTTGTTGGTCGTCAAGCATTTGGTCATCTATAGCTTGTGAATGCTACACGCACAAACCAAACAAATTAACATAAGCCTACAAATTCCTCTCTAATCAGCTCAAATCCTGCAAAAAATAATTACAATTACTTAAATAGTGATTTTTTTGTATTGAATAAAAACAATTTATGATTTTTATATAATAAAACCCATAAGAAAAGGAAACAATCTTTTATTTCGAATTTATCTAAAATCATTTTTTTAATGTCATAAACGTGTAATATATTTGATGTCTATAATTTAGGGATTTACCACAAAGCTGTATATTGTAAGGTGTGAATAATTGCACCAATAAAAAGTATTCTTGATTGAATAAAGTTCAACTACCTACATCTACTTTAATTCTCATTGCACTGATTGTACAAAAAATAAATTCAATTTCAAGGTCCAAAGTCACTCGGTGGAAGTGTCAAAATGTTCAGTTTTGGAACGTCGACAAATTCTCGTCCATTGCGAAAAATCATGCTTGTAGTTCCAAAACACATAGCTCCCCAGAACATGAGGAATAAAAGTGACTCGGTGTTGTATTCGTGCGAGAATAATGCTGTGGCAAAGAACATTGATAATGCAAAAAGTAATACAGTTGGGAACTGGAAAGAAAATAAATTTATAAAAATAACGGTTGAAAAATATTTGAAATATTCAAATAATAATTTAACGGATTTTATAGGCTATTTAGCTACTCACCGTTGCAACTTTCCAATCTTTCTGTTGCTCTAAGGGGCAAGGAATTGCGGCACCTTCTCCTTCTCTTACAATATAATTACCAACAAATAAATCGATTCCATCTTGCCTAAAACCATCATTAAAATTATTCTTATAATAGCGAGTTAACGAGTTCATTCCATCCTTAAGGAGTCCTTGTTTTGTTCTCTTTCCAGTTCTCGTAAAATCAGTTTTTAATGCACCAGTTCCAGAATATTGAATTGATATTAAATCTGCATTATCTGCCCAAATATTCTTAAATAAATCAATCATGCTGCTTCCAATATTTTCTAAAGTCTGTCCTTTGCTTAAAATTCCAAGCTTTGTTAATGTCTGCTGAAGTGATCTTTTAGCTAACATGCTCTGTACAACATTTGTACGATCCAAACAGTCAATACAATTAGTCCTGAATACACCGTCTTGTGCTGAATACAAAGAACCTGATCGAAGATGAAAAACTCCAAATTCATCCTGTTCATGTGCTAAACGATCAATAAGGATATGCAGACGATCCCAACGCATCTTTCTACATTCAGCATGAAAATCAAATGCTTCATAACGCTCATTAGCACTTCCAGCTCGAACTACTAACTGCTTAAATGCCTTTTCCATTGCATCTTCAGCTCCACGGTGATCAATTAAATTGACAAGAACAATTTTTCCATAATTTAAGACCAGCTCATCCATGTGAGTTTGATATGGCTGCAAACTATCACGTGTATTATCAAGTTTTGGACGTGGTTTGAGTCTCAAGTTTGGTGTTTGATACCAAAATATTGGAATGCTTCCTCTAATTTGGACAAAGGACACTTTCTCTCCATTATACTCGACAATCTGCTCTGTTTCAACAAAATTTGAGACATTTCCATCATTGTCAATTCCACGACAAAACAATCGTGTTCCAGCACGTCTTGTTGATCGCCTTGATATTAAAATCCACGAAAATATATGACCATTAATACTCACGTCATTAATTGATATATCTAGAATGAATTGAATTAATTAAATGTCATCACTGGATCTTATAAATGTGCGAAAACTTACATCCTAGAAGTAAAGGAAGGCAGAAGTTTATGAGCTCAGGTCGTTGGAAGGAACGCAAAAGATGTGAATTCCACACGAATCGCTGATCAGCACGCTCTAATAAGCTAAGCGATAACTGATCTGGAGACATCGAGTGAAGTCTCTGAAGAGTATGTGTTATATCATACGAGTAGCTAAAATAGAGATACGGTGTATCCAAAATAGTACGTATCATAGCCAAATAAGTTTCATTTTCCTTCTTTTGAGTTTCGTTCAAATGAAGCATAGACGGAATGTATTGAATGATATCAAATCCAGCTAATCGCCATATAACTTGATTATTTACAAATCCAACAGCTACACGATGAGTTGCAACAACTAAGTGATTGCCCGAAATTAGATTTATGGATCCAAGCACTCCACATATTTTTCTAACGCTTGCAGTACTTGGAATTTGATTTGTTTTCACTAAAATAAGCACATACAGTTTAATAAGTTAGAGAAGTACTTCAAGTATAAACATATATTTTTTGATGATGTCACAAAGTAAAATAAATAATGATGTGTGAACTTACCTTGAACATTGATTTCTTGGGTGATTCGATCAATTATCAAGACTTGACTTTTCCCATTAGGCTCTATATAGAATTTATCTGTAGTAATATAACTAAACGTGGTTGAATGATATATGATTCAATTTTATTGATTTTATTGCAAATTTATGAAAAATCACCAAAAAAAGCTTTATTAACTAGCTTAATAAATTGGATTGGATATATTGAAATACTCACAAGTTCATGTCATCGTACACTTCCATTACACTTTATTTTATTAAAAATAACTAGTATATTATTATTATTTTACTTTACAGCACTGAAAATAATTTTTTTTTTAAGAAACAAATGTTTGTAGTTTTGCTCCCCAGTAACACAAGAAAGCTTAACGGCATTCAAAAATTTAAAATCAGTGCTGTAAAATAAAAAAATAATATTTTTTTTGTGAAAACAGTTTTTCATCATTTTCTCCTATATTTTCCAGCGAAACCACTTTACTTTAATCAATTTCCTATTTATCATCACTATATAAATCAAGGTAACAAAGATTCTTCTTAAATCACCCTGTAAATTCATCAAAATTCATCAACAATTACTTTTATAGGTTTTTCTAGTATGCTGCTAAGAAGATCCAGTCGTCTTATTAAGCCACATATTGGGCTATACTCGACAGTTGTAGAACCAAAACTTAATGTTGATGAATTTAGAACAATTGAAGATAATCCAGTGAATCATTCAAAACAGCATATTGGTAAATATTACAAAATCGATGATGGCTTAAAAAGGAAGCTGTTCAGTCAAGGGGGATTGCCAAAAAAGTATGAGAAACAAATCAAAACATTTAATGAAGCTTGTTTAATGGTTCGACCACAAGCTATTGAAATAATGGAATATATCAATAGAACTGATTTCTCAAAACCAGTCGTTAGGTATTTACTATATGGAGAACGAGGAGCTGGAAAGACAATGACTATGGCTCATTTAGCGCATTATGGTCATGAGAATGGATTCTGTTTAGTTCACGTTCCTTATGCACCTGATTGGTATAAACGACCTAAAGAATTCGGCCCGTCAGCAACTCACGAAGGTATGGTCGATTTGCCATTGGATGCAGCATCTTGGCTCATTCATTTCAAGTCACAAAACAATGACTTACTCACGAAAAGTGAAGTTGGAATTTCTAAAACATATGATTGGAGTAAACGTGAACAAACAACGGCTGGTTCTAAATTGATTGAACTCGTTGACCATGGCATTAATCGCGCAAAATATGCATCAGACGTTATTGCGGCTTTAATGGATGAAATAAAGATTGCATCAACGGCTGGTAAAATTAAAACAATGGTTCTCATTGATGGATATAATTCGTTCTTTAATGAGCAAACGCGAGTATTTAGTGACACACGAAAGAAACATCCAGTAACGCCAGATAAAGTCACACTAACTCAACCATTCATTAACATAACAAATTTTGACTGGTGTAATGGAGTTTGTGTCCTTAGCGTTGACATATTTGGAATGCTTGGTTGGGAACGTGAATCATATTTGCCACGATACTTGCTTGGTAAAGAAGGTTTTGAGCATTTAGATCCGTTTGTGCCAATTAAAATGGACAAATATGACGAAAGGCAATTCGATAGCTGTATTTCATACTACGTGAATCGAAAATGGATTCAAAATACAGCACAAGGCTTTGACAAGGAATTAAAATTCTTGAGCAATTCAAATCCATATAAACTCATGGAACTATGTAATTCAGTGTAAAAGAAATGCTGTATAGACATTAAGTAATAAAGAAAGTAATAAATAATTCTTATTTGTTGTAAATCGATATTCAGGACTTTTAATCAATTCAATGCTGGTCAAGCATGCGAAAAAATGTCAAGGGAAGAAGGCAAATTTAATGTCAGGACATAAACAAGTTTGCACACAGCTTAATCACTTTCCTATAAGAGTGAAAATTTGTTATTTCTTGATGTGGTAAGCATGTGCTGTGCATTGTAATTGGTGATTTTGTTCACGCATGGCTTAGTTCGCATTTATCCATTCATTCATCTTTCTCTTAATGCATTTTGCCGGTAAATTAAAAATTCAGTTTGCGACATCAAGTGACTCACCTAAGTAATAGATTTGCTCATTACTTTATGCTGCGCTTTGATATTTCTCAAGGATAGAATGAGCGTTAAATGTTGTGTTAACTTTAATTTTTATTTTATTAAATGCAACTCCTTTTACTTATTGGATAAGCTGGAGGTTGCACGTTATGCATCTATATTGAATTTTCATAAACATAGCTAATACTGCATTCATGGAACACTCATAAATCCATTAGAACGACTTCCTGAAAGATATTATTGAGTCATGAAAAATAATTCGTTTTTAACGGTTTTTGAATATTTGATTTTAAGTATGGAAAGTTTTAATGATTTTCAAATATTATTCTGCCGTTAAAAATATGAATTTTTAAAAACCGTCTGCATCAATCTCATCTTCTAAACCCATCAATTTCGTAATGATGCACAGTTTACCTGTAATATCCATAAAGTTTACCGCAATTAATGAGTCAAAATACCAAGCACATATTTGAAATATGAAATAAAGTAATCATTTGTCAGGCAAACGTTGAGGCATGCAATGAACATCACATAAATATAATAAAATCAAAAAGAACTTTAAATGACTTAATAGTTATTAACTTTTAGTGCCATAATAAAGCTTAAAATTTCAATTTGCCGTGCTACTCAAGATGCTGACTGAGAACGTTTAAGCAAAGCTATTGCGAAATAGTAAAAATATTTTTTGCACGCTTAATTTGTCTCTATAATAATCTCCTTGTTAATTATATTATAATTTTACTATATATTGGAAGTAGCTGTTAAGCATTTCTTTTATTGCTTTGTTTTATAACATTAAAAAATAAATTTAAAAAGCATAAAATTGAAGATTTATGAATAAAATAATGCCTGTGCTCATCGATCATAGTTAAAGATCATCAAAATATTAAATAATTATAGCAGAGGTTAGTGAAACATTTCTATTTGAGAAACAATGGATGCCTCAAGTCATAACCGCCTTTCAAATCATATTTAATTGTACAAATCGTTTAATGAATATCATGACTACCGGCAAGGCACTCATTCACTAGCAACCAACTTAATTGGTGCATGCATTTTATTCGGTAAATTTACATACAAACAACTTTGTTCGAGTCGTCTGGCTATTATTATCTCGATATAGAAATTTATTGCAAATATAGAAATACTTTTCGGTCTGCGTGAGTCAAGTAACCTAATTTTGATAGTCATTGAATGTTAATTGCTTTATTATGTTTGGTAAATGACTGAAGTAAGTTACGAGTTCAACAATTGAAAATTATTTGAATTTTATGATAGAAACCTTTCAAATGTTTCGTACAGATACTAATATCATGCAAAAGTTTCTTAAATGTTCCAAAACTCCCTCAAATGTTTCATTTAATCATTTAATGTTCAAATAATGACAGTTAAGAATTTAAATAATTTATAACCGTTTAAAATTTCAATTTTGTAGGATTCACGTGTGAATAATTTAATTTAAATAATCAAACAAATAAGCAATAAATCATGACTTATCCATTAGTAAGCGCATTATTATAATATCATTCATGTAATCACTTAATTGATTAATAAGCAAATTTGTGCTAATAAAGGTGTTGACACGATCGTCAACTAGCTTCTGTATTAACAATTGCTTTTAAACTATCTTCAAATTCAATTTGCAGCGTCATTATGTCTATATGGTTAATAAAATAATATTTGTTAAGAGGTTCACAGAGAGTTCATTGTCATTTGCAGCAAGTTAAACAAATAATTTTAATGTTTATTTACCATTCATTCCTGTATGCATTTCTTGACTAAATTCACATATTTTATTACGATCGGACAGATAACATCAAAGCCATACATAAATTTGATGTATAAAGGCTACCTTACATAGTTTCTACAGCCATGATGTACTAATATTTTGCCGAAAAGTGATCTCTCCTCTTCATCTTTCGACAAAAACAATCACGTCGTGAATTCATATCGCGTAAGTCACGTTTCAAATGCTGAAGAAAAAAAAATTAATTTTAGCGCACACGAAAGAAACAAAAGGAGGGAAATAATAATAAAGCAGCAAACTTGCAATGAGAAAATATAACAAACAAATGAGCAGTGTTCTTTTTGAGCATGTCCATCTTAATCTTTAGTTATTTTCGTTTGAAGCTCATGTTAAGTAACCGCATATGAAGTGCTTCGTTCGCACAATGATTCAGATTTGAAAAAAATGTTCAAATAATCCTTGTGCATAATATTTTTCAGACACATTGAAGTAATGAAATTTTTTATTGATATTCTCTAGTTTAGGACTTTTAATGCCTTTAATCTTACTTGATTATTGATTCCTCAAAATATTAAGTCATGAAATTGAGGATAAATAAGTTTTTTTTTACAAATTTCACAAATGTTTATCAAAAAATTTGGCGCACGATAGTAATTTGTATGAAAAATTAACTAATTTTCAATCGCAAATATCTCGCTTCGGGCATATTTGGGCATGTACACATTAATATGGAAGGTTAATTAGACTTTGTTCTTTATATTTAAATAGGTTTGGTAGAAGCGGAAAGACGCGAATTTAACTTATGAGTGTTTAAAGTCTTGGTAAATTTCAAAAAAATTAATCATGTATATTCGCCCAATTAATAGGTTTTCTTTTGGTTTCTTCACACAAACACAAAGTACTAAGCTTAATTAAGCTGGTTATCAGGATTAAAACAAGAAATTTGAAGTGGAAAGGAGAAAAAATTTAAGAAAAATATTTGTTGTCATTTTGTAAACAAATTTATTGGCATCTTAAAATCGAATTTTTGTGAATTAGACAACAAATTGGAATGTGATATTTTTACAGAACATAAAACACATCATGTTCTTTAATCTGGCATTTAAAACATATAGTTTAATTAACTTGTTATTTTTGAATTTTTGAACATTTTTTTCAAATCTGAATCATTGTGGTTCGGATGATTAATAGCAAATTCTGTTGATGGAACTGATGTTTTTCAACGTATTGTCGTCTTGAAGGCTAATAAATTCATTTATAGTCGTTGTCATCAACATTAATTTTACGTGTTTTTATTTATTTTTTGGATCACTTCCATACATGCTCCTAATTTGGATTAGGAATGTTTGTTTTCTGATGAAGATTTTTGGATTGTTTCAATTCATTTGAGTTATGATGTACTTTAAGATGCAATTTCATTTCACTCTCAGAAGAAGGGTAACTTACTCGAGCTGGTCATAATCCGGGGCAGCAATATGTAAATCTTGAAAGAATGAATATCAAGCTTTAAACTGCAGTCATAACAATGATGTCAAAGTCGTAATCATCAAATGATTGCCAAAATCGTGGGAAGCGCACGGTTTTAGTCAATTACGACTTCATTTCAAATTTTTATTGAAGGAAATTGACTTCAAACTTATGCTTGTCATTTCACTCAATCAAAACAATTTGGACAAGACTTTCAAATTCAAATTTGAAGATTAAGAGTAAAGCTAGCAAATATCGCGCTACGTAATAAGTAAACTACTAGTCTAATGCATATTGATTCAGATGAGCTTTAACCTCTACACAAAAAGTGAATAGTTGAATAGAAATTATTAATCTGCTTGTTAATCTTGATTTTTTACGTATATGTACAGCACAAAAAGCAGGAAAATTACCTGATGTAATACATATTTCGACGATCTTACTAAAAATAGAACTTAATTTTTGAGATGAGAGTTCCGGTTCATATTTGAGCAGTGTCGTGCGCACATCACGATCAATCATTTAAGTTTTGCAAATAATTTAATTTTTAAAGAACAAAGAGGTGTCATAGTTGGATACAAAGAATCACTTGTTTAAAGTAATCCCCACAAATAAATCATGAGCAATGCAGTCACAAACATAGAAATAAAAATAAATATGATAATTAAACTCAACGACCATTCATATCTACATTTGTTAAAATGATTAAAGCATAATGAAAATAATTGCAAAACACTATAACTCATTTTTTTATATGGCACGTCTCCTCTATTATTTTCATCTTCGCCAACTCCTTTATATTATTGGAGGTCATGAGCTAGTGTTATACTGCATTTTAATGCATTACTATAGTTCAGATGCAATTGACGAATTAAGCGATTTATCATGAAGTCTTTTGCAACAATATTGCCATGGATATAGTTACAGCTTTTCTTATTGATTTATCATGATCCTAAGCTCTGCCTGTAAGGCATAATTAATTGTTTTGTAATAAAATTTCAACTTTTTGCTAATTAAATTAAACTGTAAATTAAAACTGTCTTAATTAGAGTTTTCAGTTGGAATTTCCTGGGTAGGAACGTTATGGAGTGGTGAGTCATTAGATCAGAGTAGCAGAAAATTAGCTAAATCAAGTTTTTAGGGTGTGCTTAACTGAGTACTCAGCTCCTTCAGAAGATTTGATTTGATTCTAGTTTAAATCTTTTTTGAAGATCCAGTTCATTTTTTGAACTGACTTATTTGGCGCTTTATACTTTCACATATCTAGATTTCTACTTATTATTGAACTCAGAAAAACCTGATTGGAGTACTTTAAATTGTGCAACACGAATAGCAGAACCAAGTATCGACCACTTAACAATTATGGGAATTTTCGGCACTTGGTTCTTAATATTTATATGAAGGTCGTTAACAATATTTGAAAGTTTGACAATCGGTAGACAAGCATTGCTGATGACTGAAGAACATTGAGGTCAATTCTTGTATTTTAAAAGAAACAATTCAACTATCCCAAACAGTTTAATCCAAAACACACAGCAAGAACTTGCCAAATTAATTGTTAATTGTGCTGTTTGCTTGATCTTTTAATTAAAAACTTTCAAAGTCATTGGCCTTAAATGCAATTTTCATTTCTTCTTATATCCG